TCCTTCTGTGGCTTTTGAGTTGGACTCCTGGTGTAAAGGGATATTCCTCAGGGCCTGGTAACTTTTTCTCAGCTAGGGCAACCAGCTTGCCTGTACCAGAACTGAATTTCCACCTATTTTAAATCATAATAGCATCATCCACCGGTGTCAGCTGGGGATTGAATTCACCTACAAATGAAAGAAAGCCCAAATGTTGGTATTTACCCAAGACACAGGGTTCTTTTTCTCCCACTGTGTCAAGAGCCTGGAGGAGGCAGGTGGCCCCAAGGCATCTCAGGACCCAGGCATCTTCCTGCTTCCTACTTACTAGTTTACTATCTGTTCCGTCTTTCCATTGCCAGTGCCTTTGTTCTACACTTTCGTTAGGCCTGAAACATTTGCTTCCTCACTCACCACATTACTTTGATGATCCTTAGAAAACAAAATCTAATTTTGCCTCTCCCTTTAAGAAAAACTCTCTTGATGATTCTCTATTATTGTAGGATAAAGTCAAAGGTCCTTGGTTTAAAACACAGGGTTCTTCAACTACTTCATCAGTTTTATCTCCTGGCCCTTCATTGCCGTACCTTTTGCTCCACACATCCTGAACTTCTCACTGTTCTCTGAACCAGCTTTGGTCCTTGGTACCTTGATTACTCTAGGTGTTTTTATATATTAATCCACCTCTTCCTTTATCAATTCTGAAACAGTTGAAAAATAGAAATTGGAGTCAGCTATAGGTTAAAATAGCAACTTTTGTGCTTTGTTTATTTTTGCTGAGAAAGTTGGATTGGCTGTACAGACAGAATTAAGATTGTTATTTCCCTACCCCCAACCCACATCTAGACATTGAGACTTCAATGAGGGGATGTCAGAGCCACAAAGCAAACCATATCCCAGCACATCAGTTGAATTTGGTTCAGCTGGCTAGAACTTCAAATCCTAATGCTACTATCTTAAGTCATAAAGAAGCAGGCATTTCAGAGCTGGTGTAGAACTCCACAGCATCATAAGGGACTCTTAAATACCTCTTCTCTACTGTGCTTAGCACATGTCTTCTATCCTTAGTTTTGGTCCAAGGGTCCATCGCAGGATCTGAGATAGTTACTAGGGCTCCACCTATTGCATTTACATTCTAAGCAGCAGAAAAGAGGGTTGTAATGAGCCTCCCAGAAGATCTATTTAGATATCATGGCCAGAACTTTTTACATAGGTAATACAACCTCAAGAAAGGCTAGGAGCAGTAGTCTTATCCTGAGCAGGAATATCCACTCCCAACAGTGGTATTCCAGTACTAAGAACAAAGAGAAAAAATGGCTGTTTGGATGGGCCACAGTCAACTAACCGCACAGTCCTGGTCTCCTGTCCCCCTTTGAGCTCAGAGAGCCCAAGCATGGGACCCAGTTTTGCTTATCTCACAGAGCCACAGCCGTGGGGGAGAATGGATCCAGAGAAAGCCAAGAGAGGCCAAGTGCACGTGCCCAGTGCTCTTTTCCAAAACTCGACAGTTAAGTAAATCACAGCTCCTCCTGTGGGGAGTCATAAGTACAGGCGGTAAGAGGGAGACTTGAGATAGTCCTGGAGTGCTGCTCCCTCCTTGGGAGGGAAGCAAAACCCACTGATGGGACGTGAGAGCAGGGAGCGGCCTTCCCAGCCTCTCCTGCTAGGGCTACCCTGTCTGACCCAATACCTCCACTGCAAGGGCCAGCGTAACCTCCAACTCCAAGCTTATACGTCACCTTCCTAGGGTGCCTCTCATGGCCCACATTACCACTGCAAACAGGTCTCTCTGTTCTTCCATTTCCCTGTGTACAGACAAAAAGGATAATGCTGCTCCGGTGGCACTAGAACGCTTCCTTGCTATGACTGTGTCTCCTTCTCTCACTCCCAGACATGTACTAAACCATGCAGTTTTGCGATTGTCTTTGCATTTCAGTTGCTCATACAGTACCAGGCACTTAGGAGGCAGCAGAACATGTACTTGAACGAGTAAATCTGCAGCTTTTCCTTCTTGTCTGCTCTTGCTATTTTATAACAAGGAAACTGAGATCTTGAGAAGTCGAATGGCTTAGTAAATAGTGAAAGTAATGGACATCTATGTTCATTAAAACTTCATTTTGTTCCAGGCACTTTCGTAAGTGTTTATGTACATTCTTCTCCTTAATTCCCATACCAACCTGATAAGGCATGTGTCATTGTACCGGGGGGTAGGGGGGGATTGGCTAAGGCTTCAGGATGCGGCAAAGCTGAAGTTTGAACCCAGGACTTTCCTTACTTCGGTCCCATGCCAGTGTACCATAAAAGCCCAGGTCGTCTGAGTCTACGCCTTACCTGAAGATATTTGAATTTTATTCCCTTTACATGTCCTGCTTGTTGTAATGCAATAATCATTTAATAGCGCTGACTAAGCCAAAGCAGCCTTGGTAGAGATTGATGTGCCTGTCCAGGATGGCATTTGTCCAGCGGCGATGCTGCCCATCTGCTCCAGCCCACCCGGCTCTCCTGCCCAAGTCACCAAGAGCCACTTATGAACAACAGCTGGAAGGAAAATAAGAAAGCTAATCTGCCCAGTTTCAAACATGTTGGAACTTCCCCAGGGAACCGAACGGTCACGTGGGTTAATGCTTATCAGGAAAGGTCACCCCCAGGAGGACACCATTAGCATTTGGCTCTCAGCAGGCAGCCAGTAGAGAAAAGCGAGGAGCAGGCTTCCCCTAACTCTTTTTGCATCACGAAAAGTGAGACTTCTTATGTTTGGGGGTGGTCGTTTCAGTTCAGAAAGAGCAAATGGATCCCTGTCAGGAGCCAGGGGAGACTCAGCCTTACTCCATCGCTCCTCTTCAAGACGAGACTTGTGCGTTCCCTTCATTCACCATGTTTGACAGAATTCTGCACGTTCATCATGCAAGATTTCTGCCCAAATGGCGAGCCACTCTCTTGCAGTTATCCGGGAAAGAAAATTGAGATATGGAGCTGTACATGTTTCCTCTGCACCAAGGCCTTCTCATCCTTGGTCTCCTAAAACAAAAGCTTCGTGGAGTAGTTCCACGGTGCAGCTGCGTGCATTCTCCTGCACGCTCGAGATCAAATCCTTTCGGTCAGAGCATCATCTTTGGGACACCCTGCTTTTTCTGGGCTGTTATGTAACTGGTATTGAGGATGGCATTGTAGGATCTAATAAGTGGAGGGAACATGAATGAGGAAGACAAAGCAGGGATGCCATGGGAACATTCATCTTACGAGATCTGGTCATTTAATTGCATGTGAAAACAGGGGCCTAGGCCTATTTGCTGCATTGAGTTTTTAAATGCAGTAAAAAGCACATGTTATAGTGCAGCCCAGTACACACACATACACACGCTTACACAGTGGGTCACAGCCTGAAGCGGTGGATGGGCCTGTGTACAGTGGTGGCGGCACAAGCTGTAGAGTGAGACCTGCAACACGCGCTGGCTCTCTCACGGAACCCCCCAAAGAATTTTGAAAAACCCCATTCCCCATCACACATTCACAGTTGTCGTTTAAAGGTTTTTCTCCCAAAATTTAAATACTTACGAAGACTAGAATTTCCTGTTTGTTGTGCCTATGCTTTAACTATATTTTTGTGAAAACACAGAGTCAAGGATTTAGCTCAAATTCATGGACAACATCCCTTATGTGAGCTAATTGTCAAAAACATCCCTCATTGTCTCACCCATCAAGCTAATCAGACTTAACTCTCCGTCAGAGAGGAGGCCAGTCTTCATTTTGCAATTCAAATAAACATCATAAAGGGCCCACCTGCCAGTACTTCTGAATTCTAACTCTGAGGTGCAGAGAGATCTATGGTGAGAGAGGGTCAAAGCCTGGCCATGAGTCTGTATGTGGTTGAAATAAAGCTTTGCTCCTCAGAGACCTTCCCTCAGGAGCGAGCCCTTCCCAAATTATCTCTTGACTTGGCATCTTGGAGTCTTCATATCCCAGGGCCAAGCTCCTTCAAAGGTCTGAGATAGATGAGAAATGTCATTCACTCGTAAAGAGGCAGAAAACAATTGTGAGAGCGGAGGTGACGGAGGTGACGGGAGAACTGGCAGACCTCACCGCCTGGTAGTTTCTCAACGAGGCCGTTTTTGGGAAAATGTGTATGTGGAACTTGAGGATGTGAAAACGAAGCCTCCAAAATTTATGACTAGAAGCCCCAAGAAAGTATGCAAGTAGCCCTAGGTACTTGAACTACGGTTCTGAGTCTTTAATATCCTCACCTGTAAAATGCAAATCATAGTAGTACCTACTTTCTAAGACAGTTATGAAGAATACATAAGGCTATACAAAGAAAGCATTTAATGAATTTCTGGGTGCGGAATAAATACCCACTATGTGTTTGCTATTGTTATTGTTGTTGCTGTTGTTATATGACCCCTCTACTTGCTAACAATGTCATTTCTCATTGGATTAAGTAATTCTCAGGCCCATCCCTAATATTCTTGGCTGCAGCCCATATATCCAAGCTCTGCCCACACCTCTGCAACCAGCAGACCCTTGGCCACTTCTTGGGCCTGGATCCCCTTTTTGGTGGCAAATTCCACTCTCAGAAGGTCCCACTTGGGTAAGAAGCCCTTACAGAGCTTGGAGGTGGGCGCAGGGCTGTTGGGACAGGAAATTCAGGATTCTGACTTTCTGGAACTTGCTCTAAAAAAGGTTGGCTATAAGTCTGCTGGACACATCCTCTGGCCCAGTAGATTTCTTGCCCAGACAGGGCCGGGCAGGAGCCATATAAAGCACATGCCCAGTGCAGTGGCCCCCCTGCTGGGATCTAAAGGTCTTACCTCTGGGATGTAATTAAAATCGGTTGGGGTGATATGTGTGGATGCGTTTTGAATGTAAAACCTCAGTATTATCTTGATGGCCTTTGTGATTCCAAATTCCATTAGAGTCAATCCCTTGAACAAACTAATGGAAACCACAGAAAAACTCAAGTTTGTCAACAGACTTCCCTGGAGGTTCTCAGACACAGAATAAAATGCCTTGTTTTACTGTTTCAGGCACCAGCTTTCAGGCCTCAGGATACAACTTCAACACCTATGACTGGAGGAGTTCGAAGCCGAGGGGTAGCTTGTCCCCAGTCACTAAGCCTCGAAGCCAGACTTACCCAGATGTAGGGCTGAGTAATGAAGACTGGGACCGGTCCACAGTCAGTGGGTAAGGCTCCCATCAGCTGTTGCCCTGTCCGGGCTGCTCCGAGTTCTTCTGGGCCAGATCTGAGCTGCTCTGCATCCAGTGGTGCATATTTCTAGCCCTCGCTTCCTGAGGCTGCTGTAGATATCCGTGCTGGCCTCATGGCAGGGTTCTAAACCTTGTGCTTGCCCAGTGGGAGCCGAGGCCCCACCACGCAACAGGGCAAGAGCTGAGTGTCCCCTGAAGAAAACAGTCACAGCACATGGGGAAAACCTACTTCCAGAAACTGTGCCCTCAATCTGTGACCCGTTCCCTCTCCCTTCATTTACAAGGTAGTTTCACATTAAGTTGCATTTAAAAAATTTAAAAAAGGTATATTTAGGGTCCCATATTTTTAACTCAGAGCTATATTTTAACATGTTTGTCCCTTACCAAAATATATTAAGGAAATTCATAGAAAATGATAGCACTTAATTGATCCATGCTGATGTTTATCATAGGGTGGGGAAAACACACTTTTCTCTCCTAGAGAAAAGTTTGATTTCTCTTTTCCCGTAGCTATGGTAGCTGAAAGATATTCCCACACGGACTCCACATTAATGCAGCTCATTCAGGAGCAGCCGTGAGTACTGTGAAATTCATTTAGTAAGACCATGGTCCTTCCTTTCATTCCTCGATACACTTCACGTTTCCTGAAGCATCCTTACATCATAGCCGGCCCTGGTTGGAGGCCACAGTTGGAAGAAAGCCAAATCCAAAATGAATCTCTATCTTTTGCATGTGAGATGAAGGAAAGAGGTTCTGAATTCAGGGGGGGAAAAAAGTGATGTCTAGCAACTTCTTAACCAAGACTGTGCTTTTTGGTGACAGTTTTACAGGGGCTCCTGACAGTACCGAGGCAGAGCAAGAGGAAAACTTCTGGTCCCAAGCACTGGAAGATTTGGAAACCTGTGGGCAGTCAGGAATTCTGAGAGAGCTTGAGGTAGCCTCGGTCCTGCTCCTTACTTTCATTGTTTCTACATTCGTTTTCTTTGGTCCTTTTGAGTTTGCATTTATCACACCAGTTCATTTAAAAGCTTTAACCCCTTTCCACAGGAGAAAGCTGACAGGCGTGTGTCTTTGAGAAACATGACTCTCTTGGTACCTACCCTTTATGTTTATATTTTTGCTTGTGAAGCTGCCTCCCCTGCCCCCTTGCCTTCTGGACAGCAATTTGATTTGATACAATGCAGTTAAAAGTATTTATTTCCCCATTTTCACACACCCCTCCTCCTCCACCCCAAGCTGACTGACTTGTGGCTTCTGCCATTGCTCCCTGCTAACCCTGATTGTACCTGTTTTCCACCGAACCGCTAAGGAGCCAGCTAAGTCTCCCAGCAGTGGCGCATCTCATTCCCTTAGTTGCTTTAGAAAGGTTTCTTTGGCATGTTTTCATTTGTACCTGGTATAGAAATTAATTTGATCGTGAAGAGGAACATAAGAGGAAATTTTATTTTATTTTGTTTTGCCCTTTAAAATAGATGACAGTGCAGCTGGTGCAAAAGGCCAGTCTGCGGGTTAAGCAGCCAAAATGTTACACGGTACTTTGCTGTTGATTGCAAATCCTGATTCCATATTAACTTAGTGTGAACCTGAGGAGTCTCGGTGAGACAGAATGTTATAGCTGAACTCCTGCTGAGTTCTTTAATCAAAGCCATGAATTTGCTGATGGTATTCACACTTTGGTCTGGGAAGTCCTGGGCTATTTCCTTTTATGTTCTTTTAAATTTTCTAAGCTGTTAAAAATAAAGTGGCAAAAGTTTCATTTTTATTTTGATGTCATACGAGGTTCCCAAGTCACCATAAGGAATGTGAATGGCATAACTGGGTGGAACTCTTGCAATTCTAAAATGATTACTCATCTTTATATTATTTTGCTTCTCAATTGCATGTGTGGATATTTTGTGTGATTCTGACGTTTGTGAATCTGCAAAGAGACTTATTGAGAAAAATATTAATTTGAATTTATAAACATTGTGGTATTACCTGGCATGAATTTTAGCTTCAGAGCATGGCTGTGGGACCTGGAGATGGATAAACCTATAAAACCTGAATAAAATGGTAGCAATTGATGCCTTTTTAACACAACTTTCAAAAATTGTAGAATACTTAAGCATCAGCTGGCTTATTTAAACTTTTACCACTTCCTGTATGTAGAATGATCCGCAAAAGTGGTCCAACCTGAATAATGAGTTCAATTCCCAAACCTTGAACATACTCTTGCTTTTGAAAGCATGTTTTGGTTTACATGCCTTTTTCATTTTACATTTTGATACTTTTTGAAGATGCATCTATTCTTCTGATAGCTTCTTCTATATCAGGTAACAATGCAGATGATATAAAATATAATATGAAGTTGTATTTTTCATCCAGAAATTGAGTTACCTAATGAAAATGTTGCAACAGCCCATAAGTCTGCATAACATAGCTTCAGGCAGGCATGGTCCTTGAAATTAGAAATCCAGAAAGGAAATGGGTTGAATGTGTAAGCCAAAGAGAAATTTAAGTCCTCAACTAGGAAGAATGATTGGCAAACCGTAAATTAGAGCCTTATTTACACTTCTATCACAAAACACACTCATTTATTAGTTTAATTAAACTCTGACCCCTTGCAAAAAATATATTTGAGCTAGGTTCCTGCCTATGAAATTTACACCGAGTATGAAAAGTTAAAGTGTACTATAACTGTAACAAATGTAGAGGATTAACTAAGATAAAAATGACTGTAATTGAAATGAAAATGAAAATTATACTAGTCATTTTCCCCATTGTTAGCAATAATTTAGTTTTAATTTAAGCACTGAAAAATGTATAGTTTTAACAAAGGAGAAAAATTCTAAGATTTTGGACAAGTTACTTAATATGTCTTATCAGATATATCTCTTTCTTTAAAATATGGGATTTGTAGTGAGCTAATGTTTATATGGCACTTAATAAATGTTCAAGTAGAAATAAATTAATTAGTTTTTGCCATTTGTTTGATTAATGAACACTGCCTTAACTATTTTTTGTTTAGTATAGGAAGAAGGTTTAAATGTCAGATAGAGAACCTGAACATATCTCTTCTAAGTTGTTTGTATATATCAATAATTTCCCTGATAATTTAGAAAAAGGAAATTATAATTGTAAATTATGAGTTGTATAAAATAAAAAGACGATAGATAACTCTTTGAGCCCATACAATCTTAGATAATTTAAAATTATTTTTAACTTTTTATTGTAGTTTATATATTTGTGTCTTAATTTTTACATTCCTTAATAGATGTCACTAATGCAACTGAAGTTCATTTTAAACAGAACAGCCATGCCACCCGTTGAACACTTGAATGAGAGGCCTTTTGATAATATGGCTTTGCTTCCATCAGAACCCTTTCTAGGTCACTTTGAAGCTTCTGCAGTAACTAAGGCTTATCAAAGCAAACTAATGCCTCCCGCTTGTAGTAAGTATTTTGTTTCCAATGTGTTTCCTGCTGGTCCCATGAAAAATAAATATAAAAACATAGGTGTTAACAAAGTAAATAACTAGTCTAAGTAGGAAAAAGCAATAGGTGGTGGTCACACAGCAAGAAAGCGGTCACTGGGCGCTGTCAGTTACAGTACATTAAACAAAGAAATGATACATGGAAGTTAAGTGCCGTAAAATAAAAGAATATCCCATGATACCAACAAAGCTAGTAATTGAAAGGTTTTGTTTGTAAAAGGGAATGTATCTGAAATAAACCAAAATATGGATAACTCATACTAGTTCAAATGTTAGTGTTTTAATCTACTAAAAAGTCAGTTTTACATGTTTCAACCTAATATTTGACTGAGAAGCAGTAGAGCCTGGTAGTCAAGAATATGGGTTCTGGAGTCAGGTTGTTCTGGTTGTAATCCCAGACTCTTGGGCAAGTTGCTTAGCTTATTCAGGCATCCCTTGCCTTAACTGAAATGAGGAGATATAATAATTATAATGCCACCCATACAACATTATTAAATGATATTCTACATACACACATATACACATATACAAATGCTACTTACCATGTGTTAATGCTCAACGACTAGTAAGATTTTTTTTACAATTTGCTTTTTCAAAATTATCATTAAAAAACCTGATCTAGTTAGGATAGTAATGACTTTACTTGTCCTATTTCTGTTTTCAACAGAGAGGTAGATATGTGTACAAGTGCGCTAAACCTTGGCTGTCATTCAAAGATCTTGTTCATGGTATATTTAGAGCTGAACACCAGGTGAAGATGGAATTACAAAACCTTAAATAACAAATGAAAACTCTGTTCGCTTTGCAGTGCTTCCTCCTGATCTATAATTTTAGGTAGTGCCCTTGGCCCGTTTACCACCTATGTGACCTTGGGTAAGTCAGCCTCTTTGTGCCTCAGTTTCCTCACCTGTAGATTGGGAGGAATAATAATGCTTATTTCATAAAGTTGTTGTGAGTCTTAAATGGATGGATACATTCAAAGCACTCAACAGGTTACAGTTTTGTTACCGGTACTGTAACCTCTCTCAGGATCTTGTTAAATAAAGGCCATTTCTAAGGAACAGTGACCTATGCCAAATGCTGCAGAGACCTAGCTGGCCATGACCGCCTGGGCCAGGCCAAGTGCCAAAGGAAAGACTGTAGACAAGGAGGTTTGGGTAGAAGCTCTTGTCTTTGTATCCATAACTGCATTTCAGCCCACTGTTTTCTCCAGGCGGGGCTGGAGGCAGCATTGCACGTAGAGGCAGCCTGGTCTCTACTGAGAAGTTCTTAGTTCGTTTCCGTAAGCTATATTGAAGGTTGCCTCATGAACCCCATCTTTAGAGCCGACTCAGTGGAAAGATAATGCTTAAACTGTAGTTTACAGTAAGCAAAATATCAGAGCTTTTCAATTTGCCTCAGAATGGCCAGGGGTGGTATTTGATTAAATAAACTCAACAGCTTAAGCACTTAAATTGGATTTGAGATGTGCATTATAAATGGCACTTACGAAGCATTTTTCCAGACTTCCATACTTCGATGAGTACATCCATTCTCCAGCCTTCAGTTATGCCCTGAAGAGACTGTATTTTGACTGGGCAGAAGCAGATATGTGCTTAATGTCGAGCAACCAAATCCTTTTCTTTGTCCATGGCTTAATTGTTTCTGAAAATTGTCAATGCCACAGGCAACAATCATGTCGGGGAGCACGATGAGTTTGAATCATGAGGCCCCAACACCTCGCAGTCAGCTGGGCAGACAGGCCAGCTTCCAGGAACGGAGCAGCTCCCGGCCGCACTATAGCCAAACAACTCGGAGCAACACCCTGCCCTCAGAGGTGGGCAGGAAGTCCGTCCCCCTAAGGAAAATGAAACAAGACATAAAGGAGATCGTGTCCCCAACTCCTGTGGAGCTGCATAAGGTCAGGAAGCTCTCTTCCCTTTCCTTAGGGTCCCATGTAGTAGCCATGGCGCGTAGCCTGAGCACCTGACGCAAGCATGGCAAAGACATGGTAGCTGGGCTCAGCCCAGGTGGGAAGCCAGAGCTTAAAGGTATATTGGCAGAGGCTTCAAGTGTTCTCCCAACAAGGGCCTTTCAGATATTATTCTGTAAAACAGAGATAATTGGATTTCAAGCAATGAAGTAATCCAAAAAATGTGTTTGTGGCCAAAATTATCTTGTAAAAGTTTGAGGCTCAGGTGTCACATGGAGCTTTGATGATTGGTCTCATATTCCAACTTCATTGGAAACGAGGGAAGGATTTTCCTAAATGTATACACTCATAGCTTCACTGAAAAGAGGGCTCAGGTGTAATGTGGGCAGGCTTAATCCTTAATTACAGGCACCGGCAGATTGTTCCATTAGCCAGGGGACACGGAGCTCTCTTCGAGACAATCTCGATGACTTGGGCCAGGCCCTGGTGATGTTTCATCTCTGCTACGATAGTTGCCTCACTGTACTTCATGGAGGAAAACCCATGGTGGCAGACAGAGACGCATCTGAGTTGCTGGCAGAGTTTAAGCAGAGCACGTATACGTGACAGTGTCCGTGGAACCCTGCGCCAAGGGCAGCGGTGGTAGAGAGGTGTCTCCAGTTCTCTTTTGTAGAGCCAGTGCTTTATTTTTGTTAACACATAAGGATACTTACAGTCCCTCTCCATTTTTCTTGAGAGCCCAGACCTCTTTTTAGTTAATAATCTATTTACTAGCAATTAATTGCTTGTCTTATCCAGAAGAGCAAATAAATGTCAGATTGAAAGGAGGTGACATGCCAGCTACTCCTTTTTTCCTCCCAGGAGGACTTCATTTTCCCTAGTCACCTATGAAAACTGGCTCTGTATTTTACAGCTGACAAAGGATGTGGTAACAGTGTGGGAAGCTGGGTTCTGAACTTGGTATTCTATTTCTGGGTTCATTCTTTTGCCCCCCATTCATTCGTTCATTGAATACATATACTGGGCATTCGTTCGCTTAAAGAATGGGTTGTGAGTTCCAGGGAGCACATAGCTGACGGGGGACAGTCTGGGAAGCAGTGGGAAGACAGTGGGACAGGAATAATGGTAGAGGCAAGCCTCGGCTACCTCAGGGGACAGAGCGGGGACCCCCCCTCCCGCTATGCAGGAAGAGAAAAAGCTTCCTAGTAGCAGGTGTTTGCTCCGTAGGAAGGTGGGGAATGGGAAGGTACGCCAAGTACAAAATGAACCATGTGCAAAGGGATGTCAGAGACTGCGCTGTGCTAAGGGAATGAGAATATTCCAGCAGGACCAGACAAGGCTCCTTGACTTGGAGCTGTGTACGTTACGAGGAATTATAGAATTTCACAGAAAAACAAAGGAGTTTCTGACATTTTAGGGTGGTGACCCAGATTTAGCCCCATGCCACAAATTAGGTTGTTTACCCAGTTACCCTGAATTGATATGTCTGTTTAGTAAACACCAGCCTTCACCCCCCTCACAAGACCTAACATGCTAATTGACAAACACCATTAGGAGGTTGTAAGGACTCACATGGGTCTTCAATTGCAGTAGCCGCATAGTCAATGCTAATCCTGTTGTGCCAGGAAAAGGGCTGGACCTCTCTGATTCCCTGAGGAATTTAGGAACACTGTCTTATCCTCTTCTCTAAAACTCCACTGTCCTAGGCAAAGAAGAGTATGCTTAATAACGCTCCTGCCTTCAGCACAAAAGGGAAAGGACACCCACATGTATGGAGAGCCCGCTATGTGCTATAATTTATTGACTTGTACCCCTCACAGTAACCCTCCTTAGCAGATATTTACTAACCCCATCTACAGGGCAGGGAAATAGCAAGTCTGACACAGAGTCATTCTTCCCCCGGAGTAAAGCTGTCTCTTCCAGGGAAAATTACTGATAGCCCAACAATGCAAAAGGGCTGTTTCCCCTCCTCTCCTGCACTGAAAGCATTTAGCACAGATAATGATGGTGAATTGGATGTGCCAATTGTGATAGCTGAGGTTTAAAAAATGACTGTGCTGAAAATAGATCCTATTAAAATTTTTTCAAAAAGCATCATCCACTTACCAGTACGATGAGCAGCAGGGGATGGACCGGGTTGGAATTTTGGGTGCCCGTGTGTGATGGGAGGCCTCAGGATCACAGACACGGGGGGCCACCTGGACCTACTCAATGGGATGCTTCCTTTTTCCTTCCCTTTAGCACATTTCCCATGTAGTCTCGCTTTCAGAGTTGATCCCAAACAAAATAAGACTCGTAAGTAGATGGTGTCCCAGGTGTTGCGGCCTGACGATATGGAATTCTTGGAGTAGATTTTGCTCACATCTCGTTTCCTTTCTTTTTTAAGTGAATTCAGTTACTCTGATGGCCATTCACATGTTTGTTGCTAAATACACTCTTCCATTTTGAAGTGCTTGAGAAGAGAAATGCTTGTTAAGAGAAGTCACTTCGCTCACAGTTCAAAGACCAGAGGCTTTTGAACTCTGGAAAATTACCCGACACCATGAAAAAGCACAGTGACTTGTTGATAGACTTGCATGATCCTTCCATTGGGGTGCTGCCGGCCTGTACCAAATCTTTGCAAAAATTAGGAAAAGGTACTGTCTTGTGTGGTGATGTGGAAAAGAGGCCAGGGAATTAGAAAACATCCTTCCACTAGTTGAAGGATACCCCACGACGGTGTATGCAGCTTGACACATGGAATAGCTTTCAGTTCCCTGAGCCCCTTGGGGGAACTTTTCTAAATGAGCCGAGAGGCTGAATTCCCAAGGCGCTGGGAAGTCCAGAGCGGAGAGGCTGGGTGAGGTGAACAGCACACTATTCTGAACATACTTGGTGTTATTTTCCGGTTGCCGTCGGCCACCTGGTGAAAGCTGTCTCCATGAGAACAAGTCGTACCCCTGTTTGGGTCCAGGCCAGCACCTACAAACTGTCACTGTCACTAGAAGCTAGCAAGTATCCATCTCCATGCCTGGAGAGAAAAAAACAAAAGCAACAGCACCTCCATCTCCTGATGATGGATTGCTAACATCTTTATACAGAAGGAATAAAGTATGGGCTTATCTTTCAGTTCCTTGGCTTTCAACTTACTCTCCATTGTTTGCCCCCTGTTTTCCACCCAGCCCTCCTCACTATTCTTTCTCTTCCTTTAGGCCTTCAGAAATCCTGAGCTCTGGTCAGACTCTAAGTGGTTTCTATTCATTGTACATCCTCTGTTGTACCTCGGGCTCCACCAGGTCCTGGCAGGTCTTCCCTCACATTGTTCTGGGGTCCATGTTCATTCCCAAACCCAGAAAAGCTGGCTGTCCTTCCTGACCAGGAGAACAAACACAGGAAGGCTCCCTTCCCGCTTTGTCCATGTGGACGGGGGAGGATGTTGGAGCTGGACTGGTGGTTTAGTAAGTAGTCGGGGTGCAGGGGGCAGGAGGAGGTCACAGGGAAGTGATACTCATGTCCCCTTACACCGCAGCTTGTCGAACTTTCTAGGCCGAGTCACACAGTCTAAAGTACATTTTATCTCGCATGTCGATACACACATACACCCACACTCATATATGAAAGAATCCATAAATTGTACACTAGCATTTTCTATTTTCTGTTTGTTTCTTTTTAAATGTGATCGCATTGAGCTGATTTCAAGGCTTTTTAATGGGCCTCAACCAAAAGTTTGTGGACTGCAGCCTTAGGTAACAATTTGGCTTGCAAACCTCTGGTGGCCTTGACCGTGATTACAGAGTGCTTGTTAAAACGCAGCTTCCTAAACCCCCTCAGGCTTATCTGTGTCTCCGGGGCCCAGCATTTTCTGGGACTTCAGGCCAATGATCTGCATTTTAGCGACATCTTCCATGGATTCCTTTGCACCCTAAAGATTGAGTATCATTCCTTTAGGTTTTGCTAAGTAGAGGTGATTATTCTGTTTCATAGGCAAATACCTGGTGACAGGGTTAAAAAAAAAAAAAAAGTTTGCATCTTTTGCCCTGGAACTTCTGAGTTTTATCTTTAAAATGAATTCTGGTTTGTCCTATAGTTTACCACAAATTCTTTCTCTTTGCAAATAAGGAGGTATGATCTTAGCTACAGTTTATTGATAACCCTTCTTTCCCTTCTGAAGCTTAAATATCCTGTGGTATCCACTTAATCTATTTCTGAGATGAAGTCTAACTGCACTTCTTTGCACAGTTTATGGCAAAAAAAAAAAAAAAATCAGTAGAGGAGAAATTTCCCCACATTCAGAGCATTTGGACTTATTTTTTAAAGATCATATTGACATTTCCTGTGCTCTGTCATGCATGTTTTTCAGTTAAATTATGTTCCTTATTGGTATGCAGCTATTTTTATTTATCTTTTTACAGAACTGTTTTTAAAATAATTTTCCAGCATCTACTTTTATTTATGGCTCTGGTGGCATTTGAGTCACGCAGGAGCCCATTTATCTCTTGTAGCTGCATTTGCTGCCATCAACTTTTCCAAAGCAGCTGGGTTCACTTTGCATTTTCCATATGTGCGAGTATTTGGAGAGGGGACCTTTGTTCTTCTCCGTGGTGTGAGGTTGTTTTACTCCGTGGGAGGAGGGCCATTTTTGGTGTTTAATGGCAGCTTCTTTTATGATTCTCTCCCTGCGTCAGGAGCAGTCTCAGCCCTCGGAGGAAATCTAAAATGGAAACGCATAGCTTATCCAGGCATGTGCCTCTTTCTTCACCAAATATTCAGAGCTGCTACTCCAGATCAAATGAGACCTCCCACCAGGCCATCTCCAAATAGCTAGCATAGAATTATCTCACTGTGGAAGTCACTGGGAGCTCAAACAACAAGCTGAATCTTTTGTCTCCCAGTCTAGATCCAACTTCTTTTTCTTCAGGCAGGGAGTGAATTAAGTTAGAGAGAATGCAGGCTTCACTCTCAGACAGACCGAGGTTTGGTCCCAATGTGACAGTCATCAGCCCTGTCAC